CAACAACCACCTTTAAGGCCTTCATTGTAAGCTAGCACATCTCCAAAACAACCTCAAGCTAAATTTAAAAGCTTATAGATAAATAAGAGCCAGTGAGTAATGATGCAATTCCTAATTTGAATAGTCAAATATTAACAGTATTCAATAATCAAAATAGACTCTATGTACTCACTTTATGTGTGTACAAGAAAAGTCTCTCTCTCTCTATATATATATATATAGAGAGAGAGTATATATGTGTGTGTGTGTGTGTGTGTGTGTGTGTGTGTGTGTATATATATATACACACACACACACGCATATACTGTATATTGGTATGTTTGCTAATAAGTAAGAAAAAACTGCAGTAGATTAAACAAAAAAAAGAGTAAGCACTGCCAAGTTAAATTTTCAGTAGTAAAGTAGCCTTATCCAGTACATATGTGTGCCACAACTCTTTGTGTGCCACATACATCTTTTTGAAATTGTTGTGTATTTATATTAAAAAAAAAAGAGCTTTAGCTGAGATGCTGTTTACAGATTTTTTAAACTCACATGACACTTTACCCGCATAGCCAAAAAATCCTTTATCATTCTGGCAATGCGAGCAAACAAGATCACTTTTGTTATAAATCTCAATTCCAGTGGAGTACTGTATTGCACTACTCTAGTAAGTGGTAATGTTTGCCACAGCCCATCCTCCTCTGGCTCATATCCATTTAATCTTCTCACAAATCCCACCTCCTCCACTGCCTCAATAACAGTGAAGGATAGGTTGAAGACAAGGAAAAATCTAACTGTTGCCTCACTTGAAAAAAATGCACATAAATTCAATTGGACGATGTCAAGTGGCATTAAACTAAATATTTTTTTAAGGACAAGGATGACTTAAAATAAACTGCTTGCCAAGAGTACAAACGCATAACCCAGAATACTGCAGGTCAAGATTTGGGATAGTGTTTACATGAAGCTGTTGAGTCGTGCACCAGAAAAGGGAGACCCATACAGACTGCAGGTTTCTATATGGGATTAACAAGATGCTCTCTCTTACACACATTAGAAATGAATATGCTGAATTTGAAGTCAGTCTTCTAGAAAATAAGAATGACAAATATTTACTGACCTTACCAAATCATGGGGCTGTAGGGTGCAACACGCTTGTAAAAGGATCAAGAGAAGTCCACTTTGAAATGCAAATGACACAAAGTCTTTAGAAAGAATCAGGCACCATTTCCCACATTTCCTATTATACTTCATATCTGCTGACACTGTGCCGTCACACTGGGCAGCAGCCACAGCGGGCACTGATAATATGGCCATGGTCAAGGCCTTACTGCAAATGCCTCCACCCTCAACTGTTCTGACAGTAAACTGATTTGCTCAACATGGTCGGGCAGTAAGCTACATAGAAGGCACGACTTTCAAAAGGCTTAGCATGCTCACCTTTTTAGTAGCTTTGAAGTAAGAACTTCTTTGTTTTGCTGCAGGCACATGTCATCTCAATTGTAGGAATATGGAAATGGATTTGCCCAGTGAGGTTAAACTTTAAAACAGATTTTTAACCCTAAATACAATTAAACTACTGTATTTACAATAATAATGACAATGTAGTCTTTGTATATAATAAGTTGTTGTGAAACAGGTTGCCCAGTCAAACCAAATCAATGTGGGACAACAATTTCCCATCTTGTGTAAGTCTGCCTTTGTGCAGCTCATATTGCAACATTACCTATCAGTCTAAAAAATGGTATATATATCCACTTACCATATCCCATTACTACATTTTTACAGCCTCGGTTGCACATCAGCCTTCAAACAACTGTGCCTTTTCTTCCTTGTTTATCATGTGCAGTAGGTTATGAATCTCAGGTGATAACTGAAACAATGACAAATGGTTGTATTCATTCATCCATCAGTGTGAATATTTCTCTCAAATTTCCTTCCAGGATGGGTCCCATTTAGAAATCAGTGTTTGCCTTTTTCAGAAGGATTTCGACACGCTTTTTCCACAGAAAACCAAAGCAATGAACCATGCCAAAGTGTGCCATGCTCCCCTGCATTTCGGTCATCTCATACAGAGCTCTTATGTGGCTTGGGAGAGATCCACATAGCCTCCAGGTCTGGATACTCGCTGGGACATAAGATACTCAAACAGCCCATCATAAAGGGTCTGTTTGTTTCTTGTCACAGCGTAGAAACGAAAACTATGGCCACATATTTTCAGCAACTATCACTTATGCCTTCATTCTCCTCTGACTAAACATCTATATTATATTTAATACATGAACTATTATCTAATGAAGGCCAGATTCCGGGAAAGCAGGAACTGAATCAAACATATTACCTAGGCCCGACTCCCCTCCTCCACTCCACATTTTTCACTCTCACTCTAATCAACCCACGGGCCATAAACGAGATTTATCACTGGCACCAATTGGAGAGGGGAGGAAAGAGGGCTAGGAAAGACAAGGGGAGAGGGAGAATGGAGGCCAAGTCACAAACAGCAGGGGGGCATGAGCCATGGATCACAGCTGTTTGAGCTCACCAAACCAAGCAGGGTTTCAAAAACTAAAATCCCAAACAAAAACAAAGAGCATGCTATTTCTTGGTGATAATTGCATATATATATATATCTCTCTAAAAAAAAAAAAGCATTTCATAGGACAAGTCGTAACACTTTTAAAAGTTATCTGACTAATTTGCTGATCATGGTCTGTGAAATACCCCCATGCTCTCTGTGTCTTACAGTTCCTGTAGGCTCTAGACACAGTACCCACAGATTTAGTGTGTGGTGACCCTCTGAGTCCCTGCAGAGCAAGCAGCCATCAATTGTCTGTCACAGTGGGGCATTAGAAAGGGGGGAGCTGTGTAGCATTAGCACACACATGAACACACACACAAGCACTGTTCTGAGATTACCTTCGCTATTATGGCTCGTGCTACCCTGGCATTTACACACATCCTTAAAATATTACATGGCACGCTGGTTTTCTTGTCCTAAAGTAGCCGGTATTAAGCTGGGGAAATCTTTACTCTTGCCATGAATTACTATTATTTTCCTTCCATCAAACGACGGAACAAAACATATACACGATAAAGCCATTTTCCAATCTGTGTGGTTGCACTTATGAGTAGTATACTGGTGAAACAAACAAAACAAACCAAAAAAAAATGCCCTGTCTGTTTCTGTTGCTATATATGTCTGGGAGTGGGAGGGAGATATCGCTGCATGAGGGTTTTGACAACGAATGACACCAAGGCCATTGACCACATCACTGTGGGTAGTTGACTAAAACTGAGACCGGGACCTTGCGTGTGGTTCATTTCACAGCCACCAAACACTATCCATCAACAAGGGGGGTGGGATGACATAATTAGAAAAATAGCCAGCCACCATGGCAACCTACTGTGTCAAGGCTTGCATAAGGCTTGACTAGCCTTTGCTGCAGGCAACACACACACAGTGGAAACCAAAGAGTGAAAATTGCAGGAAAAAGAAAAAGAACCAGAGGGGACAGCTTTGAAAGAGCTATTTTCATTTCCTTCTGGTCACTCCTTTAGCCTTCTGAGTCACCCTCAAATATCCCAGTATGTTTGGTTTCTGTCACATTAAGCCAACAGTTTTAGACCATACAATTATAGAAGCTATGAAATTCAAGAAACATAAGTGACATGTTTGATTGTTTTTACACAATAGTCACTTCATGGTATAGTGCAGAATACACACTGCATAGTCACCTCTTCATTGGCAAACACCTACTTTCTTTTTTTAGCACTCACACATACACAATAACCCCAATATATATCAAGAATATGCAGGGAAACGTGTATTACATGCATTATTACACGTATACATACAGTTTGTTACCATTACACCGAAGTTTATTGTTAACAAGAATGCTTCCAATGTTGAGCTTTACCTGTCTGATTTGTTAATATAATAAAAATACATGAAAAACACCAATATAAATGTCTCTTCGAGCTTTGTTAGGACGCCAGTAGTTTGAAAGTAACGCGAGGTGGCCCCAGAATACACAAAAACGCAGTGTTCCTTTTCTTGTAATTCAATTCGATGTAGTTGATATTTCCTCGTGTGAGCAGGTTTATGCGAGAAAAGTGCTTATATACTACTTTGAGCGACGTTTTCATAAAATCAGGACGACAACAAAGTCGAAATGTGGCTTCCACTTAAGAAAAGTAGAGAATCATACTAGTCCCTTCACAGCACAAAGGAAAGCAGCCAAAGCTCTACGTACAGTGCTACTGCCACTACTGTTAGCTTGCTGGACGACAAACGATACATTTAACAAAGGCTAGCGAGCAAACAAACGTTGGCTTTGACGTATTTCTGATCTATACACTTGATTGTCTCGGAAACTAATCGCCGACGGCAAAATACAGGAAGATTCTGTGTTAGTTTGCTAATACCGGGCATACTTTGGATAGCTAATTGTGCTAGCTAGGTTAGCATAGCTAATAGCCTTTTTTCCCCGACTTTGGGTATGTTCGTTTTGTACATTGCGTGCGTATGTTAACAGTTCAACGTTGCGATCTAGTTTGATAAATAAAGTCTATGATGTTTTTCTGACTTTGTGATTGAATTTTTAGTTTGTACAGCAACTGCGCAACCGACTTCTTTTAAGAGTAACGTAAACATTAGCGTTTTTGGATGAGCCCCATTCCTCGCTGGTTACGCTAATATCAAAGCAGCGGCTTATAACTAAGTAACGAACTAGCTTGGGTAGCTGCTGGCCTTTTCTTGGTGGTAGCGTAACGACATATGTACAACGCCATGTCTGTTTTTGTTTGCCACATCTACCCCTACTTCTCACGGTCTCAACTAATTCCAAGTAAACAGATAACGTCTTCTATGATAACTCAAGCTAAGCGCTTAAAAGCCGGCGTAGCCCGTCGTACAAAACGTGCGCGCCTAGGAGAGGCAGCCCAGAACGCATCTTGTTATAAGGCGACTGCCGATGTGTCGCTCGCTTTTTTCACAATATGCTCGAAATTACACTCACCGTTAACGCGTTTCTTTATTCTCAATCCAAACCTCGAGCGTGCGGGCTGATTTTGAGCGAAGACTCGCGTCAAAGCGACGAAAATGAGGAATTTTATCCAACTTATTCTTCGTAGTTGTTTTCTCCACTTCCTGATTGAGACGGTGCCATTTTGAATAGCGAGAAAATATTTCCGCCGCTGTCGTCACGCGCAGTGCCGCTTGTTGATCGCGAGCAGGGGGCAGCCGGGCCAGAAATAGTTCAGCTCGGCCTGGTTCGGCTCACCTGGACCGGTGCTGCAAGTCAGGATAATTTAATTCAATTAAGTTCTATAAATAATAATAATAATGATTTAAAAAAAGAAAAGAAAAGAAAGAAATACAATGCTGACAGACGACAGAACAAATTAACCACCTACAGCTCAGTTATGTCCATTTGACCAAAGCACAACTGACAATAACATAATAATATAGTAGACTCAATTCTGGGTCAGTTTATACTTTTTTAATACTGCATTTATGTATTACATTCTACTTGCATCATTGGCATCTTATCTTTTACCTATCTATCTATCTATCTATCTATCTATCTATCTATCTATCTATCTATCTATCTATCTATCTATCTATCTATCCATCTATCCATCTATCCATCTATCCATCTATCCATCTATCTATCTATCTATCTATCTATCTATCCAACCATCAATCCCAATTAGATGGAGGCTGATGGTCAAAATCTAGCTCTTGATGCTATTTTGTGAACCAAACATAAGACCAGAATAGAAGTTACACAGAAAGAAAGAAAGATAACAAAGGTATTTGGATTTGGGCAGCTGGGACACCAAAAAAAAAAAAGAAGAAAAAAGCAACAACATAGATAAACTGTATTTTGACAGATTACTGATAATTACAGATATTCCACACTGATGAATGTTGTGAAACATCAAGGTATCCACTGTTTAATATATATATTTATATATATTTACAGAACCAATTCCTCTTTTTCTGTTAATTGTTAAAGATTGTATTTATTTTTCTAAATATATTTACTGTGCTAACTTTTGAAATGTTGGAAATTTAATGATGATTCTCATGCCTTCAATTTTATTTTACATTCTATATGCAAATACAGACATTTTTTGCACTTTTATTAATATGTTCACGTGTTTCAAAAACAGAAAAAAATCTCTAAAGTTAAAAGAAAAAAATCAGTAAAATTACACTTTTTCTTTACAGTGTATGCAGCCTTGGATAAGTTGTATGACCTACATGCATAATAATTAGATAAAATAGTACATTTAAAGTCATTTCGCCCTTTAAACTCTGTCATAAATAGGTCAGTCCTTATCAGCTGATTAGTTCCTGGTATAAGATCAATAAAACATTAAATCCTCCTTAAGATATTACCTATCTTTATAGAGCACCTGAGGTTTCCATACTCGGTTAAAATTGGAAATTTACATTAAATGTCCATTTGTTTTTTGTAAATTACTTAAGATAAATACTTCAGTGTGGGCATAGGTGTTTTGTTGGATGGAGAATGCATGTCCCCCTCGACATACAGAACACATGCGACAATAAAAACACACGGCACATTTAAAGAGTTTTCTGCCGTAAACAAAAAAAGGAGTGAATCCAGCCTAAATATGTGTTGACTCAGCAGGGATAATATGACATGGGAAGAGCTGATCTACAGGAAAACAAGTATTTGAAAGCATAATGCCTCAGAGCTTTCCTGCATTGTATTCCACTGTATTTTGAATCGTCACCTGGTGGCTTGTGTTTTCCTTTAAAACATTTCCACCATTAATTGAGACAGAAAAGGCACAAATTGGTGCATAAAAAATTCTCCAGAATGCAGGAAATGAAGTGCTTGATGCTCGGTCCCATATAAAACCTACACTAATCGGTCAGGGAAGGTGATGAAAACGATCATTAAATCTCAGATTCCTCCAGTAAAAATACAGAAAATAAACAAAGGAGATATTTTTGCAAAATTAAAAGTAATTATCAATTAGTTTGTGTTTAAAGATTTTTTTTCCTCCAACTTCAATAAGACACAAACTGAAATTTAGCCCACAATAGCTAAAATGCTAATGCTGCTGCTGCTAAACTCAAACTACTACTCATACTAACAAAAGGCTAATGACTAACTAGCATAGAAAAGAGCTCACCGTGTAAAATCGAAGATGATTCTGCAGAAAAAACATTGCAAAACAGTATAAAATAACATACAGACCAAGCCATTGTAATGCAAAATAACATTAAAAAAACAGAATAAGTATAAATGCCATTAAAGGTTAGAAAGGTTTAAAAAATAATAAAGGACACTCAAGGCAAAGCGTAGAAATCTTTTGCATTAAACTGCTTATAGACTGCAGTGTTCTTTTATGTTTAGTTTATCTGTATTCTGTAGGTGTGCGATCCTCGTTTCATGATTTATTTTTTTCATTTCGGAAAATCCATCAGACCATTTCCCTGCAGACACTTATTGTATAAATGAGTGTTTGATTTTAGATGTTAAATGGAGTACACGCTCATCTTCCTCCTGCAGGTCGCTGTCTGGTTTTGGCATCCATCCGTCCATTCTACGTTATTGAACGACAGGAGCTGGAAGAGCTCCAGTTGTTTCCAGCAAACATACACTGCTGCTGCTTTCCTGGTATACCAGTCCCCTCTTTTCCCAACAGTGGAGGGTGGTGGGAAGCAAAGGGTGTGTGTAGTATGTGTGCACTGGTTTGTGCTCAAATTGAAGATAGTGTTTGTGAAAGATGCAGACAGGGCTGTGCTTTGTTCTCGCTGTTCGAATGTTGTTGTGTCGTCCTTTGTCAGCAAGGTGGTGGTTGTAAAAGCAGGATTAATGCATCCTTTTAGTCACACCTTTAATGCACGGTAGCTCGTCATTTACTACTCCTGATCCTGTGCAGCTTCACTGTTTTAGAGTTCAGTAATACCATAACAGCAGAAACATGTGATTTGGCAAACAATTCTGATAATATAGTAAAAAAACAAAAAACAGAATCTATTATATGCCATATTTCAAAACTAACTAATCTCAAAAACTCAAAACTAACTCCTGAATTTCTACTAATAAACAAATCTGTGCCACACCACTGATATGTGCAATATTATTATTTCCACCCCCCCACAGGAATTTGGGCAATCTCACTCATACCTATGTACATATTTTGTATTTGTATTTTCTACTTATAATTTTTAAATGTTTGCATTATCCCCTTTGCTGCTATGACAATGCATATCCCCACTGTAGTTCCACTGCTTTTATTTACATGTTGACCCTGTCTCATCATTTTTTTAAGCATTTGGCACACCCTACTGGAATTTCTCAGCAAACACTTGTTTTGATGTGAGCTGGATTTCGAAGTCTGTTTGAGACTTCAAAAGCTCACGGTGCTTTGGCCACAGGGGCTGAGCACATAAACCAGAGCCATGGCACAGCGAGGATTTGTCCCCATTGAGCAATTCTGATCATTAGCAGGAAACAGAACTGTAGAAATATTTCGGCCGGTAAAGTCTTCGATGCCAGCTACAGTATGTCACAGATTAATGGTGTGCAACAGTTATGCTCTTAACAGATCTACAGGAATGTTACAACCATGTTCACCCCCTTTTATTTCTGCGTGTTCAGCTGTTGTTCACCGTGACTCATTGTGAGCACGTTAGCTTCTGTAAATAGTACAATTCACGCACTCTCAGTTCAGCAGACGTGCCAAAAAGGATGACAAAGACACTTCCTTTCCCGTATAATGTCAGATTAGTAGGAGATGCAAAAAAATGTGTCTGTTACAAAACCCTAACTCAAGGTCATTTTCAGTTCTCGGAAGTAAACTCAGCCATATTTGTGGGGTTATTTTACACCTATTAAAATGCAAATATGTCTTTTATATCTTGACATTTTCATATATTTAAAACCAGAGAGGTTTCATAACTTTTGCCTTGTGGAACAGAGCACACACACACACACACACACACACACACACACACACACAAAGGAACAAGTCACTGCTAGTGTTTCTGAGTGTATAACAGACAGCATTCAATGCACACATTTCGCAAAACACTGCGTTTATTGCGCCACAGAACATAAATCAGTATAACTTAAAAGTGTGGCGCGGCATGAAATGGAATGTAGGCCTTTTCTCTAATACGACTTATGTAAATCTCTGACAAAACCAAATTGCATAACTTTGCCCCAAAAGCTTCTTTGTTACCCCTTCATTATTTCCCCAGTAAAGGCCATGTCTGCCACCGGCCAGCCATAATTTGATTAATCCACCGAAAGGGTAGCCAGACGGTAAGAGCCTGCTCTGCTTCTCCTCCGCTCTACACAGGATATCTGATTTCTTTTTAAAGATTGTATTTAATGACATTTATATCTCTATATATCTTTACTTAATCTTACTTAATTTCTGTACTCATATGAATTGCCTGGCATTATTTTAATATTCATTTAATCAACTCATTGTTCCTATTGCTGGAAGAGAACATTATTGACCTGTAATTGTGTTATATTTTCAGCCTTGTTGTGGATCCTGCAGGGAGGGGGGCTGAACAGCTTGTGACGAGATGGAGACTTTAGTCTTTTTATTTTCTTTTTCTGCCCTTGGCGTCCTTTATGCCATGAACACCACCCCTGAGTTTCAAGAGTAAGTCCTAACATTTACTAATTTCTTATTAATTGTTACGTTCTTTCTATATTCTATGTATATCCAAACTTTTAAATGTCTGTTGAAGGGTGAAGCTGCAAATTACGGCTATAAAACCATGAGCTATATACAACAATATTAAACACCCACAACTATACTAACATTTATTAATGCGCAATCAAAAATTTGCATAGATTTGCAAGAATATGACCACAGATGATCCACAGTGAACAAACAGTATGTTTCACCACCACTAGAGGACTCTGTAAGCTTAAAACTCCTGGTTTATTTCAGTCTGTATTCACTGAAACTGTCTCATAAATCCTTGACCACATTGAACACTGCCAATTTATGAGATCCATTTTAAGAACGTACTTGCCAGTTGTGTAAAGTCTTTAAATGATTAAATCTGACATTTCTTGGAGGAGCAAAAGAGTGAATAGGAAGGCAATGTGAACAGAATTTGTAGACATAATCTGATATGATGCTGGAGATAATTACTTTTCGAAGCTGTG